AAAAAAAAAAAAACATGTTTCTTTGAAAGTTAGAAAATCTGCTCTGCCTATGTGCAATGTTCGAAACTATTTGTAAAGTGCTCGATCTCATCTCTATCGACCAATATTCGAATCTATTTGAAAGTGTTTCGTTCCCATGCCCGTAAGTTACCCACGAAATGTGTGCAACAGTACCCCTTGGATCCGAGTACAGTATCGTTGTAGTGATTTCTAAAAGGTTAGAGGTTAGAAGGCGACTAGAGATTCGAACCTGCGGGCTGCTCGATCCCATCGCTGCAGGGCAGAATAGCACGCGTGCAGCGTTCCATTTCGGTTCGCGGTTCGAAACGAGGGGAACGCGAAGCGAACCGCGACGGCGCGCAATACGAGTAGGTGGGGGCGCGAGGTGAATCGGTGGTCGTAGAAGGTGGAAGGTGGAAGGTAGAAGAGGGAAGGTTCGCGTTCGCAGTAGGAGACGGTTGTGGTAGGTCACGAGAACAAAATGGCCGATGGCCGGTTGCCATGGCAACGAGATCGGGCGTTACCGGAACATTCCTCGAAGGCGGAGCTTTCAAATCTTGGCGGCCATTACTGATCCCCACTCCGACAGGTATCGCCGCCTGGCGGGCGAGTTTCAAACTAACGCGCCTCCATTTTCCCCGCGCTTTTATACGGGAACGTTCGTACGATCGTGCATTCGATAAAATCAAGGGCACACGGAGATTTATTTTCACTGATCCTCGAGGACTCTTGTTTTATGGCACTCTTCGGATAACAACTGGTAATTTATACTTCTCCGTCGCGGTGTTGCGTGTTACACGTTTCTTTTGTACGTCTACTCGTACACGAAGATCGTTTGAGGTTATAATGCCTTGCTCAAGCATACAGTTGGAAAGAACGTTGCTGGAGAGATGTGCGTTAATGATTGAGGATTTGAAGGATCAAGATATTTGAACTTCATTTTGTAGTAATTTTAATCAGGTATTTTTGGAAACATCTTGTAATTCACTGTGCATACACATGTATCGTATGTACATATA